CGAGGTGTACCCAGTTCTGGACTGAACTACCTGACCGAGGTGTACCCAGTTCTGGACTGAACTACCTGACCGAGGTGTACCCAGTTCTGGACTGAACTACCTGACCGAGGTGTACCCAGTTCTGGACTGAAACCAGTCCCGTCCCTAAGCAGTATTCAGGATATGTCACCTTGTCTTTCTGTCCTTTCTTCCAGTAGGTGACCTTGTAGGAGGCTGAGTTGTACACGTCCCTCAGGGACGAGCTGTGGAACTTTGGATCTGTGATACTAACATCCAGGGTCCGACCGTGGGACAGAACCGTCACGTTGGGGGGACCGATGATGGCTGAAGAACCGAAACAGAATAAAATTGGAAACTGCAGAACACAACATTAGCTCAAAGCCAGCAGCAGAGAGCTGTAGCGGACCTGTGGGGACATGAGTCTTGGGTGGACCAGATGAGTGGACTTACTGTCTTTGTCGGGCATGATGTGGTTGCTGTCCACCCAGGCTGAGCTCTCAGACCCCAGCAGGGCCCGGACCCTTCCTATGTAGGTCCCATACACGCTTGTTTTGAAGGAGGTCAGGTCACACTGAGGAACGGAGATGTTCACACAACCTTCTCTGTAGGCTGAGATGGAGCTTCTGAAACACAGAACCAACATCAGACCTTCAGCTTGGAAAGATGGACAAAAGCAGGACTAGTTCTTCTCTGGACTCATGAAGTTTAAGCAGATTCTCTTCATCTTCATTTAGTAAATATGGTTCTTAGGTCCGCCCCCTTCATGTTCTTAGACCCGCCCCTTTCACCCCCAAACAGTTTTCAAATTCCATGTTAGTACTGTTCCTGCTGAACCGTTCTAGTTTTTATAAATTTAGGATTGGATGAATCCTGAAGACTAGAGGTCCAGCTCAGAACTCACCTGAACTCTGCGGTGTAGATAAGTCCACTGGGGGCTCCATTTGGTGGATCCCACCTAAGAACCAGATCCAGGTTCTTTGAGCTCAGCACGACATTGGTGGGACCGTCAAGGACTCCTGATACCACTGCAAAGTCCAGTTTCAAGACCAAAGTTAGGTCCAAATCTTTCTTATATATATATATAAGTACACAGGTCAGACTGGACCCAGACCCAGATCCAGGAGGGTCAGGTCCAAATGACTTATTTCAAAACAAAGATTTACCATTAACCCTGATTATTGTAGAACAAACCAACATTAACCCTGATTATTGTAGAACAAACCAACATTAACCCTGATTATTGTACAATAAACCAATATTAACCCTGATTATTGTAGAATAAACCAACATTAACCCTGATTATTGTAGAACAAACCAACATTAACCTGATTATTGTAGAATAAACAACATTAACCCTGATTATTGTAGAACAAACCAACATTAACCCTGATTATTGTAGAATAAACCAACATTAACCTGATTATTGTAGAATAAACCAACGTTAACCATGATTATTGTAGAATAAACCAACATTAACCTGATTATTGTAGAATAAACCAACATTAACCCTGATTATTGTAGAATAAACCAACATTAACCTGATTATTGTAGAATAAACAACATTATTACCTCTGATAAAAGCTGAAACGGTCAGAATGAGAGCTGACAGAGTCACTAACATGTCGGCCCGTTGTTTCCAACAGAAGCTGAAGTTTTGTTTCTTTACTTCCTCTTAGTTTACATGAGCAGGGGGCGGGAATTACCCAGAAACTGAACTTCTGCTCTGAGCGCTGACGTCACACTTCAGGTAAACAGAACAAGCGACTACACGGCGTATTACGGTAACTGAGAATACCTTCAAAATAAAAC